TAAAAAAATGATAGTAATTGAGACTGAAGGAGTATAAATTTATAAATAAATTAATAAAAATTTCATTATTGCAAAACAATTTTTCGAATTAATAATTACTAACCAACACGACCGAGGCAAATTGCTTCCGTCCCGAGGAACATGAAATCGTTACAGTGCTCCATGCTGGCGATGACGCCGTTGCCGTTAAAGTGTTTCCTAACGGAAGCCGTTAAAGCTTTGAAATATGCTTTTGCTAAATCCACTCTTCCACCGTAATTCTCGCATAGCATTTCTAACAACTGTAAAAAAAAGGAAAAGTAAAAATAATTATTTTAAAAATAATTAAAAAATAGTGGTAACGTGCCGACCAAAACATGTGAGACAAATCAAAGAATTTTTGGTTCTAAATTAAGACACGTGGAAGTACAGGTGTCCGAAAAAGGGTAAAAAAGTATTTTTGTTAATTGAAAGGAAGGTTCGGTATGGCTTACGTGGATAACGTCTACTTTGACACCATCGATTCCAACGGTCTCCAAGTGGGAGTGGAGTCCTTCGTACATCTGGTGGACGGACTCCGGCGGGACAAGGCCGATCCCGGTGCTGACAATCTTGTCGACGGCGAGATCCTCCATGGTCATTTGGAGTCCGGGAGAAAGTTTGGGTTTCACGATCTTGGTTTCGGGTAATCCGGGAACGTTGGGTCTCAGGCCCCCCCAGTAGCCGCACAGAGCATGCCAGACGTAAACGTAGTCGACGGTCTTGAATTGGTCCTTAAGGTCCTTGATAAAGGCACCCATGCCCTTATTAGTGGACCTCGGGCTGACGTAGTTCCGGAATTTGTAATTCTCTTGGAATTTCAGGAGCCTGCATGGCATCTGCTCGCCGGCGACCGTGCAATTCATGCCTTCTTTGGTGATTGGGTCCTCGTCGTGGCCAATTGACTGCCACCCATCATCGATTAACACCAGTCCGGGTGGGCAGCCGCCGTCGACGAGGTTTTTGACGCCCTCAAGAACTCCGTCAGGGTGTACTGTAAGGTAAAATGCGTCCCACGTGCACCAACCAAATTTGTCCACGATTCCGGGCGGGGTTTTTTCATCCAGAAGCTGGAATGTACCTAGATGGGCCCGAATCACCTTCATGGCGTCCTTCACCAGAGTGAAGGGGTCTTCACCGACATGCATATACAGGACACTCCGGAATCCGGACGCGGTGACCTTGGTAGAGTCACTTTCCACACAGATATCCACGTTGTCGTCACGACCCGGCTGCAGAGAGGCCCGGAAGGGGCCTTCAAGAAGAGGAAGGAGGAGGACATACGGCCGGCCGGCGTCGGATTTCTCCAGAATGACCATCTGGGTCTCGTGCTCGAGGTCTCCACCGTTAGAACCAACCCAGTGGGTAGTCCACCAGACCTTGAACCGAAAAATACTCATGAACCGCAGGTTCTTGAGTTTCCCAATTGGAACGACATGACGACTTCTGAACTCAGGCACATCAAACCCGACAAAAGCACCGCCTGTGGACATTGCTTTGTCGGCGGCGGCGGATGAACAGGGGTAAGGCGATGGAGTCAAAGTAACATTGTCAGGGACATCAGAGAGAAAAACATGACCATTAGCCAAGAAATTCGATTCTTCAATCGTGATGGGAGACTGCCCGTAGCTACCCTCTACAAGGCCATTGACACCGGGGCTAACTTTGGTCAAATTGGGAGCCATTTGGGGTTGATTATGCATAGGAAAAACAGGGCAGAAAAAAAAAGAGTAATGAAAAAGCGTTTTGTGGGTTGTGTGAAAAAGGAAGAACAAATGATTGTTATATAGACAAAGAAGGGAAGATTAAAAAGAGAAAGAAAATCAATTAAGGGGTGATTTTGATTCTGTGCTTAATGAATTTGATCAAGAAGATCCGGAGTCTCCCATATTTATAGGGAATGCGGGAGTTGAGGTGGGTCATGGGTGTTTCCATTGAGGATTTTTATTTTTATTTTTTTAATTTTAGAGAAAAAAGTATTGAATATGTGATGGAAATGGAATGGTGGGTTTGAAAATTGGGTGTGATTTTTTTGCTTTATTGAATTTGATGGGCCATATTGGATAGTAAAAGATTATCCAAAGAAGCATCTTTTTGTCTTTGGTGCATGCTTAGGAGCGGACGAATGTGACATGAAGCTTCCTTAGGAATGGTTAAGGATCTAAGAGGTATTTAAAAGAAAAAAAATGATAAAAACTAAATATTACCTCACAAAATCTTATGCGAGAGTATTTATAAATGGTTTATTGTACTTAACAGATTTGGGATGTACTTCTTCCTCGTGCTTTCCTTCTTTAATTAATAATATATTCTATTACTCTTTTGTCAATTAAAAAAAAGGGTATTTAGATACTCCTTTAATATTAACTAATTATTGTAAAATTATATTATAAAATAAATTTGTGACTATCAAATATTGTCTCGACATGTAAAAACTTCAGAGATTTCAAGTTAAATACTATTTTAGGTTGTTAAAAAAAGAAAAAAAATTATTTTAGGTGGAAAAGGATGCATTTGGGAAAGATGTATGGTGGTCCATGTATTTGTTTAATATTAATAATTTTGGGTTCGAGTAAAAATAGTTTAATTTTTAAAGTAATGTTTTAAATTTAAAACTCATAAATGAATTTATATGTACTAAGAAATTAAAGTTTTTTCTCTTGTAAGGGTCTAATTCAAGTTAACTTTAGGGTCTGTTTGGTACAGTGATTAAAATTCAACGGATAGCGGATAGCGGTAGTCGGTAGCGGATAGCGGATGACAGATAGAAGAAAGTAGGTAGCGGATGATAAATAGCGGACTCGATAAATATAACTGTTTGGTTATACAATGATTAGCGGTTGTTATTTAACATTAAATGACTAATAAGGACATGTTTAAAAACAAATAAGTATATTTTTT